GGCGCGGCCTTAAAAGGCCGGGAGGAGTGGCCGTGCCCGGGGGTCACCGGCACAGGGTCGGCCGCTGTCACACGCGCCCCGGCTCGGCCCCGTCCCGGGAGCACGGCGCACAGTCGCGCTCGCACCGAGTCCGGCCAGCCCTTCCGGCCCGTCTCCGAGAGCCCTCATGGGCCCCGAGGCCACCTGCCCGTGGAGCGGCCCCCTGCCTCGCCTCCGGGTGAGGACCTTGATCGAGCCCGTGGTGGCGTCCACGCAGGTGGCCGCCTCCCTCTACGAGGCGGGGCTGCTCCTCGTGGTGAAGGCGTCCTTCGGAGCCGGGGCCTCCTCCAACCACAGCGCCAGCCCGTCGCCCCGGGACGCTCTGGAGGACGAACAGCAGAGGGCCATCTCCAACTTCTACATCGTCTACAACCTGGTGGCGGGCCTGACGCCCCTGCTGTCCGCCTACGGGCTGGGCTGGCTCAGCGACCGCTACCACCGCAAGATCTCCATCTGCGTGTCCCTGCTGGGCTTCCTGCTCTCCCGCCTGGGGCTGCTGCTCAAGGTGCTGCTGGACTGGCCCGTGGAGGTGCTGTACGGGGCGGCGGCACTGAACGGGCTGTGCGGCGGCTTCTCCGCCTTCTGGTCGGGCGTCATGGCCCTGGGATCCCTCGGCTCCTCCGAGGACCGCCGCTCCCTGCGCCTCATCCTCCTGGACCTGATCCTGGGCCTGGCGGGATTCTGCGGGAGCATGGCCTCGGGGCACCTCTTCAAGCAGATGACTGGGCACCACTCGGGGCAGGGCCTGGTGCTGACGGCCTGCAGCGTGAGCTGTGCCACTTTTGCACTTGTGTACAGCCTCTTGATACTGAAGGTCCCCGAGTCGACGGCCAGTCCCAGGACGGCACTCCCCGCTGTGGATACGGTGTCAGGCACAATTGGCACGTATCGTACCCTGGATCCCGATCAGTCAGACAAGCAGGGTGTGGAGGGGTACCCTCCATCTCCCGGGAAAGCAGTGCCCAAAAAGACTGTCATCGCCCTGCTCTTTGTGGGTGCCGTCATATATGACCTGGCAGTGGTGGGCACCGTGGACGTGATGCCCCTTTTTGTGCTCAGGGAGCCTCTCAGGTGGAATCAAGTGCAGGTGGGCTATGGTATGGCAGCCGGGTACACCATCTTCATCACCAGCTTCCTGGGCGTCCTGCTCTTCTCCCGCTGCTTCCGGGACACCACTATGATCGTGATTGGGATGGTCTCCTTTGGGTCGGGAGCCCTCCTCTTGGCTTTCGTGAAAGAGACATACATGTTCTACATCGGTGAGTCTGGCATTCTCGGGGAGGCAGGACGAGGGCACGGCTGGCCCCTTGAGTCGTGGGGCCGACACCAGGGATGCTGTGGTCCGGGTGTCCCCGGCTCAGCAGCAGAGACCATACCCCCTGCCTAGGAAGTTTCGAGGGAGTCAGGATCATGTGCAGTTGAGTTCATCTGAGTTGTACTGTCTACTGGGCCATCTGTGTTACCCGCCGAAGTGGCCTCAGAGTGATGCCTGTGGCTCTAGGAGGTCAGCGGAGTTTGGTCGGTGGGGCCCGTGGTCAGGAGGGAAGGTTTCAGGTTGGCCTTCGGAGACGGGGTTGGATTTCTTCTCTCCAATTTTAAAGGGATAAAACATTAAGGTAATCAGGCTGAAAAGGTCCCTTAATTAAAGTCATTTGGGGCCAAGCATGGGCTATTCAAAAATGGATAAAAAAAAGGCACAAATGCCTTCCACAACCAATGTAATAAATTCTTTCAAGGAAGCAGAATGAAGTTTCCACCTGAGGACACAGGTCGGACAACCACAAGCAGAGAGCTCTTTAGACCAATGTTGGAATAGAACTTTCTACACTGATAGAAATGTCCTAAATCTGGTCTGTCTGATAAAAGCAGCCACACGCCATGTGTGGCTATTGAGCACTTGAAATGGGGCTGGCACAACTGAGGACCAGAGTTTTCAATTTGACTTGATTTGATTTTAATTAACTCATATAGTCACACGTGGCCAGTGGCTAACACATTAGAAAAAAACAACTCTACACGGTTATCAGAGGCTCTCCCTTGGCTGAGGTCACACATCTCAGAAGACACCTAACAAAACGGCAACTTAGGTTTGGCCGACTCCCAGATAAACGGGCCACGTGCAAAAGCCAGAGTAGCCCTCTCCCCTTCCCCTCCCACCACCTCTACCTTTGTCCCCCCCTCCCCCCCCCCACACTTAAACACACAGCACATTGGGATTAGGAATAAGGCACGTGAGAAGGAAAGGTGGTGGCGGCTGTACGTGTGCTATACACTCCTGGATGCAGTTTGCCAAAGTTCCTGGCGCTGTCTACCAGAGGGCTTCATGAATGGCGACAGAAGTCACCTCTGTCCCAGGGACAAGGAGAGGAGCCTAAAGTCACTCCCGTGACATCAGCTCTACTTCCCTAGATGCCACGTAACTCTGCCGACGAAGACACCCTTCACTACCCGTCACCGTGCCAGCTGTGCCCTGCCACCTCGCAGATGGGTCTGCGGCATCTATGGCACCGTCAGAGCTCAGGGGCTCAGCCCGCCCTGGAGAGGGTGTCAGCCTGCAGGCAGAGAAACCACTCCCTGCGGGCAAGCCCGTGGGGATTGTGGGGAGAGGGGGAGGTTCCTGGTGAGGCTTTTGCTTTTACCGATTGACTCCTTGGCCAAGCCTGGGCACGACGAGGAGTGTTCTCTTGTGATTTCTTTCCAGCTCGAGCTGTCATGCTGTTCGCTCTCATCCCCGTCACAACCATCCGATCGGCAATGTCCAAACTCATAAAGGACTCCTCTTATGGTGAGTGAAAGGAATCTCTCAGAAGTTCTCTGCCCGGCCGGTTTCAGACCTGCTTGGCTTGAGGCATAGGGTCCGGACTTGCAAAAGGCCCATGAGACGGTGCCAGAAGCAGCCTTGAATACTCTAGGAACACTCCGGTGTCCATTAGAGCAGAGGGGGTGAAAACAGGAGGATGGGAGAGACTCAGAAAGTCGGTCACTGAAAAGCCACCGTCAAAGGAGGACACTGCTACCCGCAGGCTGCAGGAAGATGCAGCCGACGGAGCCAGGAGTCCCGCTGGAACGAGCCAAGACTGAGAGGCGGCCCTGGGAAGGATGCGGAGTCTCCTGAGAGCTCCCTAGAGACTCGGCTAGCAGCTAAAATGGAAGGGACAGCAACATATCTTCTTGGTAACCTCTGTCCCTTCCACAGGAAAGGTGTTCGTCATCCTGCAGCTGTCCCTGGCTCTGACTGGGGTGGTGACGTCCACGGTGTACAACAAGATCTATCAGCTCACCATGGAGAAGTTCGTGGGCTCCTGTTTTGCTCTCTCCTCCTTTCTCTCCTTCCTGGCCATCATCCCGATTGGGTAAGAAAGGAGAGTCTGGTTTGGGCTGGGGCTTTTGGGCTTAGGTCAGGGCCTCTTGGACCCTCTCCAGTCTATTATCATAAAGAATTATTTATTTGCAGCATTTATGCAGTGGGTTCTGAGGGGGCTCTCCCATAAATAAGAAGTCCTCCTGTTCTCCCAAGCTAATAATCTGCCAATCTGGGAAAACCCCGAACTCGTAAATAATGAATAGAGGGCCACAATCAGCTGGTTACTTCCTGACAGTCTTATACTTCCTTTTGATTAGAGGCTGGGATTAGATATCCTCTTGAACCACTCCAACGTCTTTTCTGAGGTCCTTTTAGAGGAGAATCATCCTGCCTAGTATTCTCTCACTTCCTAGTATTCTCTCCACGCCCTCCAAGGGCTGGGCACCTGGCAGTGCCCCGGAATCTCACATGCCCCTGGACTGTGGGAGCTCCTGGTAGGACTTGAGCAATTCCTTTGATCTCTGTGCGGGAGTCGTCTCATTTGTAAAATAAGAACACTCAGGTCAGGGAGATAACAAGCAGGAGGAAGGCTGGAGAAGCCCAAGAGAGGCAGTCTGCGGGGCGCCTGGGTGGCTCAGTTGGTTAAGCGTCCGACTTCAGCCAGGTCACGATCTCGCGGTCCGTGAGTTCGAGCCCCACGTCAGGCTCTGGGCTGATGGCTCGGAGCCTGGAGCCTGTTTCCGATTCTGTGTCTCCCTCTCTCTCTGCCCCTCCCCCGTTCATGCTGTGTCTCTCTCTGTCTCAAAAATAAATAAACGTAAAAAAAAAAAAAAAAAGAGGCAGTCTGGTTCCACAGTAAGAGCACTAGCCTAGGACATCACCAAGATGATCTTTGACCAGCCCTGTGCAGCGTGAGTCCTAAGAGCAAGCCATGTATGTGATTTTAAACCATCTCATAACGTTTAAAAATGGGAAGACGGGTGAAATTAATTTTAGTAACACATTGGACTTGACCCAGCATATCCAAAATACCACTCCAACATGTCATCAATTTACAAAATTAATCAATGAGTTGTTTTTTTGTTTTTGTTTTTGTTTTTTTTTAACTAAGTCTCTGAAATCTGGTACGTGTTTTATGCTGATGGCACATCTCAGTTTGGACCCAGGTTGAACACATTTCAGGTGTTAAGCGGCTGGCATAGCTAGTGACCGCTACATTAGACAGCACAGCTTCAACCTGTTTAGGCCTGTTTACCCCTTCTCATTTAGTGAGGTCCTCTCAGGCTTGTATCACTCCCACCAGAGGAGAAAGGAATACAATAAACCTACCCACCATAACATGTGAGGGATTTGATAAAGATTTGCATTTTGTTTTATTTAATTTTTTAATTTTTTTTAATGTCTATTATTTTTGAGAGCGAGAGAGACAGAGAGCAAGCAGGGAAGTGGCAGAGAGAGAGGGAGACACAGAATCGGAAGCAGGCTCCAGGCTCCGAGCTGTCAGCACAGAGCCCGACGAGGGGCTCGAACTCAGACTATGAGGTCATGACCTGAGCTGAAGTCGGACGCTTAAGCTTAACCTACTGACCTACCCAGGTGCCCCAAAGATTTGCATTTTTAAAGGGTCTGCCTGGTAGCACAGAGAAGTCTACACATCAATAATGGTGGCATTACAGGCAGCAGAATAGAAAATAACTGAAGGCAGGTTGAAAGAAGTGGGAAGTGGATGGGGGGGAAGACCCTTGTTGGAATTCTCACATCACATCATAATGTAAGTCCCTGCCTACATAGAAGGTTGAGCCTCCTTAGACAGAAGCCATCAATAATGAAGGCTCTTTGCTCTATTTCGTAGTTGAGAAAAGAAAGATTTGAAGTGAAGGAAGGGAAGGAGGGAGGGAGGGGGATGGAGGGAAGGAAGGGAGGAAGGAAGGCAGGCAAGCAGCTGAGAATCTGTGTAAGCAGCGGCATGATTATGAGGGCCTTCTTGGCCCAGTTCTCATTTTTTCAAGGTGTGGGACTGAGCCAGACCTGTCCTCAGACTGCCCAGCCCTTAGGCCTTTTCCTGTGCCCCTATTTTCATGCGAGTCTTGGCTGAATGGGTTGGGCTTAGCTACCAAGACTTAGCACGCAATGCAAATCTGTCAGGAGCCCCAGTTTTTTGTCCAAGTGAGTAATGGATTAGTAGCTGTGCCACTTGGAAGTTTACCCAGCCCTATTTGGCACACGGGCGAAATATTCTCATTAACCTAAACAAACAAACAAAGGAAAACAAAAGAAAACCAGTCTGACTAATGGGTGGCACAGCTAGAGATATAAACGAAGGAATGAAAGCCATGAACAGTCGTTTTCCTTCCCACAGTTTCGTTGCTTCGCGTGCGTGCTAAGTGGGATCCTGTGCCTTTGTTAAGAGACTTCAGGGCACATGAAGGAGGTGGGCCGCCCTTGAACGTCTCACCCCAGTGCGCTGTGTAACACGCACTTGGACTTGGCCATACTTGCCGTGCACAGAGTCTTATATCACAGATGCAGGGACAGAATCTTGTATCAGTCGAGTAAGTACTTGAGTGCTTGTGTGAATGAGGCACGTTAAGTAATTGCTAATTATTTCCCTGTCTTGTGGCCATTCAGCAGTAAAGAGACACATGTGCAAATAAAGCCTCATTTGCTGTATGCTGGAATCACCTAGAAAGGCTGAAAAAATCACTGATGTCTGGATCCCACCCCCAGAGATTCTGACTCGGTTGATCCGGAGAGCAGCCTGGGCCCAGGCCTTTTTAAAAGCTCTCCGGGTTATTCGAATATACAACCAAGACTGAGGACTCTGGTATAAAGGGAGTGTTTCCATTACCTTTCCCTTCCGTGAAGTCACTAAATAAACGAGATCCTGAAAAACTCTTACAGCTAGAAGAGGCCAAGGCTGAACCATCAATCATCAAGTGACAGCGACAGGGAAAACCAGTAGAGCTTTCTAACCACAGAAAGAAAAGCTATGTTCCAATGACATAAAAGCCCAGGAAGACATGTCAGAGCAGGGAGGCAGAGGACACAGTGGAGGCAGAAGGCGGGGAGGAGGGGTCCCTGGGTCAGAGCTGCCAACAGCCTGCTTGCCAGAAGGGACCGTGACCCAGGCCTGCCTGGTACCAGAGTGAGCCCATTTCACGTGACTGTGAGAACCTGCCCTCTCCTGCTTGCTCCTCTTTTTTTTTTTTAATGTTTATTTATTTTTTGAGAGGCAAAGCACAAGTGGGGGAGGGGCAGAGAGCGAGGGAGCCACAGAATCCAAAGCAGGCTCCAGGCTCTGAGCTGTCAGCTCCGACGCGGAGCTCAAACCCACGGACTGCAAGATCATGACCTGTCCGAAGTCAGATGAGCAACCTACTGAGCCACCCAGGCGCCCCACCCTCTTGCTCTTCTTGCAGTTGGGAGATGCTGAAGAAAGAACTTTCTGGCTCTGCCCATCCTCAACCCACTTGCCACTCTATCCCTCTCCTCCCTCCCCACCTGTTTCTTAGTAATGATAATAGCAACCCTGTAACTAGCTCTTATCATGTGCTAGCTACTACTTAAAATGTTTTAATAAATTTAATCTTCCCCCAAAGCCCTCTGACGTAATTACTATTACTGTTCTGCAAATAAGGATACAGAGGCGCTGAGGTATCACGTAACCTGCCAAAGGTTCAGAGCCCGTAGTAAGTGGCAGAGACAGGATTTGAACGCAGGCAGTCTCTGATCCTCTACACCGCACTGCTTCTTAGTAGAGTCACCAGGTGCCAGGGTGCCACCTGTGCCGTCTCCTTAGAGAGCTCCCTCCGCGGGCTAGCTGCGCTCTCCTGAATTCTTACCGGAACGGACACGCAAGCGGCCACCCTCTCTCTCCCCAACCTCCTCCTCACGGTCAGCTTCTGCAAAGGCTCGTGTGCACCTGCTGCCTGCGTCCTCACCGCCCACTCACTTCTCAGCCCAGACGTCCGAGGTCCCCCCTCGACCAGCAGCGCTCTTCTCACTAGGGCCGCCGACCACTCTTCAAAGCTGGATCCAGTGGACTCGCTCAGCCCTCATCTCACCCCACGTGATTTCTCCGCGGCCCCAGCACCCGTGCTCACTCTTGGCCGTCACTGGGCTTTCTCAGCACCTCATCACTTCTTCTCTACACACCTCCAAATGGAAGATTCTTTGGGGCTCTGCTCTGGGTTCTCGCTTCATATGCTCTCTCGAAGCAATCTAAAGCACTTTCAAGACTTCAAATTACCACCTGAGTTTCCAAAATTGGGTTCTTGACGCCTTCCTGCGCCTGCTCCCCCTCCAGCCTTTGCCGCCTCCCTAAATGGCACCGCCACTCACCCGGGGGAGGAACCGTCACCGAAGTCTGCCCTCAACTTCACCTCCCACACCTCCAATCCGTCAGGCCTCACTGACTCTACCTTCAAAACGGTCCTCAAATTCATCCTTTTTTTTTTTTTTTTTTTTTTTTAAATCACTACTGCTACCACCCCTAGGCCAGAGCACTTGAACGACCGGATTAGCCTCTGGACCATTCCTCCCATGTCCACTCTTGTTCCCTCCCATCCTCTCTCCACCAGGTGCCCAGAGCAATTTCCTTCAAGTGTTTAAACAGATCGCATCATCGCCTGCTCAAAGCTCTGCTCTTGGCTTTCACCGCTGTTAGGATACAAACCCAATGTCTTCCCATGGACCACAAGGTCCTCTGTAACCTGGCTTTGCCAACCTCCGTAATTTCTGTTTCTGTCACTAACCACCCTCCGCGACCCCAGGTGTCAGCCCCAGGAGTGACCCCTCATGCTCTTCCCCCTTCTGCGCCCATGCCTCCTTCTTAACCCAACTAGATGTGGTCTTAAGCAGCATTTTCTCAAAAAGCTTTTGAAACAAATCCCTTTCTTAATCTAAATTAGGTACTTTTATCATATGCTCCCAAAGCTTCCTCCATTTTCCTTCATAGCCTGATAATTGACGGTTAGGGGTTATCTTTTCATACGCTTGCCCACCAGACTGTAGGCTCCCTGAGGGGAGGAACCATGGCCGTTTGGCTCAGGACATATCATCTGTGTCCAGCAGAGAGCCTGGCCTGTAAGAAGTACTCAAAAAGTATTTGTTTAATGAACGATCTGTTGGAAGGGTGTGGCACCTACTAGCCAGCATTGCTGGCCATCCGTATCCCAGAGCTGCCTGTCAGCTGACCATGAAGGCAGTGGCTGGCCATCACCACCTGGCTTTGCTACTGGGGTCTACAGTGGGGGTCAGCCGCAGAGGCAGGGCTGCGACCTGGTGTCGGCCCACATCTGGACTTTCCTGCCAGCTCTTTAATACAATGAGTTTTGTCTCAAGTACAGTGCGTGTTCCTCCCTGTAGAGCTCTGGGACTCATAGAAGGTGGGACATCAGAGATTTTGGAAGTTCCCACAAAGCTTTCCCTTAGAAGGTTTGGACTTAAGTTGGCACCCCATCCAGCGGCTTCCAGGTGTTGACCATCAGCCAGGAAGAGGTTGCTGTAGCCTAGAAACTGAGGTTCCTAGAAAGGTTGCTCATGAGAAAACCGAGGATCCCAGAGGTGGAAGGACATGCCAAAGGTCACACAGATCCGAGACTTCAAGTCAGAGCTCCTAATTCCCAGGCCTCCCTTTTTTTTTTTTTTTTTTTTTTTTTTTTTTTTTTTTTACAAATATTTGAAAACAATGTAATGAGAATTTATGGAACAGATAAAGGGGCTATGGAAGGACAGAAGATGAGGCAGCGAATTCTGCTTGGATTAGCCCAATTTTGATCTTGAAATTCACGTGGGAGTTCATCAGGCAGTAGTGAGATGGAGAGAGATTTCAGGAAAAGGAAAATGTAGATGCAAAGGGCTTGAGATATTATAGGGCTGGAATGGGCCATCTCTCCACTCAGAACAACATTCTGGGGACAATGGTCAGAGCCTCTCAGTCTATAGGTGATAAAAAAGGCGGCCGTTGGTGGGAAGGAAAAGGCACACCCTTTGCCCCATTCCAACTGTTTGTCTTGTAATTCTTACAGCATCGTGGCCTACAAACAAGGCTCATGACTGCAATATGGAGACATCGCAGAGAAATGAAGGTGCTGACCGACGGGAGCTGAAAATACCAGCAATGGCTTCTTTTGAAGTCAAAAGAAGGGACTGGGTGCTGGTGACCAAAGCAAGCCACTGCTCCAAAACCCCAGGTTCCAGCCGGAGTTGGCTTGGGCATGAGCTGCTCTGGCTCAGGGGTCCCTGGCTGGTGGGGAAAAGCACTTTCTTGGTGATAGAACTTTCTCAGCTTTCAGACGTCCCTGTCAGAGGTTAGGTTCTGGGGACAGTAGAGGGTGAACTTCCAAGGGTTAGATGCAGGGGGCCGTGCGCAGTCACACGAGACGCATAAAGGGCTTCAGACAGCAGCCCCTTTTCTTCCAGGAGTTGGCTCTAAGGTACCACTAACTAGTCACCTGGGTGCCGTGCTGGGGATCCCCCAGGAAAACTCAAGCCAAAGCATGCATTTTCAACAGCCTAGAGGGAGCGCAGAGGGGATGCTTTGTAAGAACTCCCAACAGTGAACATCAGCCAATATATATATATTTTTTAATTAAAATAAAACCTTGAAAAAAACTTAGCTTTCTTCCCTGAGGCCTTGTTAGCTGTGAACACTCAGGAGAGATTTGGGGCTGAGGCTCTTGGCTTCAGGGTAGTTTTACTGCCGTCATTACTGTTGTTTTTAAGAAGCAAATATCAAACGACTTTCTTTAGTGACTATTACATGGCATATTTTCAGTCAACAATACTTCTTCCCAAAGTGGGCGGTGTGGAGAGAGAGGGCAGAGGAGATAGGCCAAGAGCCGTCTTATTTTGAGGTACCTATTTTTACAGACTATTTTACTTACACATAGAAAAACAGGCTCACCTCCAAATAAAATCAACATTTACTGTATGCGTGTGAATCGTTCTTCCCCGGCTAGCCTCCCTCTATAACTACAGGCATGGCATTCTTATACTGGGGTAAAACTTAAAGCTAGGGAATGCATTTCAAGCTCCAAGCGTTTGGGCTCAGAGAGTTTACACCTCTGATCTCTTGCAGGGAATAAACAAGCCTTTCTGGCATGTCTTCTAAGGTCCTGGCACCATGCTAGGTGCTGAGATACGGCAAGCACGTGACTGCTCATGCCCTGACAGAATGTTCTGTCCAGCAGGTGGAACAGACAGAACAGCTGGCAACCACATATCCTATAATAAATGGTAGCATAAGGGAGCATCTAACCAGGTTTAGGAGAGCAGGGAAGGCTTCTCAGAAGAAGTGGACTACGGTAACCCTGGAAGGATAAGGAGTCACCAAGGCCAGAAGTTAAGGGACAGTCCAGGCAGAAGAAATAACAAGCTGGAAGGCCCGAAGGTGAAAATATCTTTTTTTTTTTTTTTTAATTTTTTTTTTTTCAACGTTTTTTATTTATTTTTGGGACAGAGAGAGACAGAGCACGAACGGGGGAGGGGCAGAGAGAGAGGGAGACACAGAATCGGAAACAGGCTCCAGGCTCCGAGCCATCAGCCCAGAGCCTGATGCGGGGCTCGAACTCACAGACCGCGAGATCGTGACCTGGCTGAAGTCAGACGCTCAACCGACTGCGCCACCCAGGCGCCCCTGAAAATATCTTTTGATATAGGAATTCAATATAAGGGAGCAAAGAGGGGGGGAGGGACAGGTACCAAAAGGACAGAATCAAGACCAGGAGATTAGAGTGGTAGGGAGAAACAACAATACACATATAGAGCCTTAAAAAGAGTTTCTCTTTAATTTGTTTAATGTTTATCTATTTTTGAGAGAGAAAGAGAGAGACAACAGGGGGAGGGGCAGAGAGAGAGGGTGACAGAGAATCCAAAGCAGGCTCCAGGCTAAGCTGTCAGCACAGAGCCCGATGTGGGGTTCAAACTCATGAACCATGGGATCATGACCTGAGCCAAAGTCAAGATGATTAGCTGACTGAGCCACCCCAGGCGCCCTGCAAGTTTCTCTTTAAAGTAACAGGGATAGCTGGTGGAAGATTTCACGCAGGAGTATGGAATGCGTCCTGGCATCCCTGAGAATGAACTGGGCCAGGAAGGGGCAGAAGGAGAGAGAAGACTTGCAGAAAGGACACAAGAGCAGAGCGTCTGGTAGTAACCCAGGTGACGGACAATGGCGGACTGACTTTGGATAAGATGTGAAGGTGCAGAACAGTAGAGGGACTTAGAGAAATCCTTGGGAGCTGGCGGTCAGCAGGAGTTGGTGACAGGTGATCTGCAGAGGGTGGGGCAGATGGAGGCAAGAATGCTCAGATTTGAGGTTCAGGCAACTAGGAAGAAGGCCGAGCCTCTCCCTGAGACAGACGACATGGGCGGAGGTGGGATGGGAAGTGGAGTTCAAGGCCAAGCTTACCTTGCTAAATTCTCACCGATTATGCTCCTTCCTCTTGGCTCCTTGCCTCCTGTCCCAGCCCCTGATCGGCTCCCCAACCCGGATGAATCTCATCATTGGCAGCTCCATTCCTGCTCCTGAAAAGCTGGCTTGGAGCATCCAGAAACATGTCCTTATTTGCTCACACTCACCCACCATACGCTTGTGGGTTTTAACCTGAGCTGGGCTCTCAAAGCCCCAGCACTGGCTCCTTTTCAATTTGTCACTAAGGTGGCAGTTTTGACCCTTCTCCACTTGCCCCAGGTCACCAATTCTTCTAACAGAGGTTCTAACCCCTTTGATCTTCTCAAAGTGTGGTTTCTGAACCAGCAGCTTCAGTATCCCCAGGGAACCTGTTAGAGATGCAAATTATTTGGCTCCACCCCAATCAAACTCTCGAGGTGGGGACCAACAATTGGTGTTTTCACAAGCCCTCAAGCTTAAGAACCAATGTTATCTATGGGCCTTTCTCTTCTTAAGAATGTTCCCTGAGTCCCTCTCCTCCTCTTCCTGCATCCTTAATTGTTTTTGTTTTTGTTGTTATTTATTTTGGGGAGGGGGGCAAAGAGAGAGAGAGGGAGAGAGAATCCCAAGCAGGCTCAGTGCTGTCAGCGTGAAGCCCGACTTGAGGCTCAAACCCACAAACCAGGAAATCATGGCCTGAGCCGAAACCAATAGCCAGACACTTAACCAACTGAGCCTCCCCCCAGGCGCCCCCATCCTTAATTCTTGAGGCCCATAAAGCTCTGCCCTTGGTATGTTCCCCAAGTAATCTAGTCCACTCTCAGGGATTCCAGAACACTTTTTCCAACAATCTGGTCGACACCTCCACCTGGATTTCCTCAAACATAATTCCAAACCAAATTATTCTCCCACCTCACCATCTAAGCTACTCCAACCTTTACATTTTTCTCCTGATTGTTTTCACGTGTGAGTTAATGACGTCATCTCCCTGCTCCCAGGCTTGAAAACTCCGTCTCATCTCTGATCCCCTCCCCTCACCACAGAAATCTCTTAAATTCATCACCCTTCCTATCGCCCATTGCCACAACTTTTATGATCTATTCCCATCTGTTCCCCAGGGCTTCAGTCTGACCACAGTCCACCAGCCTACTATCTCCATCACCTTCTTAAAGCAGTTACGAGAAATATATACCCCCCCCCTTAATTTTCATTTGACAAAGCAAACGGGAAGGATTGTTATGGGAATGCTTGATATTTAAGTTGGCCGTATCTAAACAAGTAATAGAAGAGTCTTCCCGTAAGAGCAGTCCAGTCATCTAAGTGTTGGCAGACACGATGCTTTATATATATACATTATCGCCAAACCCATCAGCAACCCACCAAGGGAAAGCACGTCTTCATTGCAAAGATCAATATACTTAAGTTCAAAGAAATGGGACTTGCCTAAAACCACAGAAGTAACGAGTGGAAAAAGCTGAGATCTGATCCCAAAGCTCTCTTATCCCGCCTTGCTGCCTCATTGTGTATGACTGTAGTCTTGGATTAGTGATGTCTACTGTCAGTAAGTTCAAGTGCATTTCCAGTACTTTGGGGTCATTAACCGAGCATTCCGGTCTCCCTTCGAAACACACTCTTGACACCCTAACGAACCACAGGCATTTCTTCTTGCCTAACAGATTTTTTAAAAGCATCAGGGCAGTTAAAAAAAAAAAAAATCAGGAAATGACTGGTCCTGACTGAGAAGATGTTGTGCTTTGCTATGGGATGGAGTAGGAAAAAATCCTCACAAAAGTACGTGGGCTGGCTGCCAGGCTGCCCGCCAATCACAGTGGTTGTGAACAGACACCAGGTAGTTTCTTCATTTCCCCAAGTCGGTGCCAACCTGTGGGGTGTAGAAGGTAAACTGAGGATAAATCTACGGAGTAGAGTAAAAATAGGTTAATTATATCTTTTTCCTGTTGCTCTGTATATCCTGATTCTTGCAGGCAAACTCATACCTCTTTAGAGAAAACAAGAAAACAAGATACAAGGCACACGTGTTTTCCTGTCGTGTAAAGTGTTATAAATGACAACACAATTCAAGGTAAAGAAAGCATCATTCGTAGGTTTATTGGTCCATTACTTTAAGTTAATTGAGGTAAAGAAACCTTTTAAATTTACAAGCTAATAGTTAACAAGCAATACAAATTCTTTTGTTTACCTCAAAATGTAATACTAATTTCATAGTAAACAATGGACAGAGTTTTTTTATACACAGATATATGAAAAAAAGTGGACAAAAACCTCGTGCCAGCATCAAAAAATGCAACAAAACTTTTTTTTTCTTTTTACAATCTCTGGGTTCCATAACAAAGAAAGAAAGAAAAAGGTGACATTCTTTTTAAAGTTTGGTAGCTTCATGAAACAGAGACTTTGACCTGGGAATAAATCACTTTCTCGTCCACACACATTCTTGAGCACATTTTTTTTTTTTTTTTCACAGCTTCTGATTTGGCTTATTGGCAGCATGGAGAGAAGAGAACACATTTACACAGAGGGAGGACTTCATCAATACCTTGGGCGGGGGGAGGGGTTCTTCTAAAATTTTAAATGTGAAGAATGACCTCTAAAAATAAGAAATACAGTCCACACTTTGGACATGACCTAAGCAAAAGTTTTGAAT